TATATATGACTGCTTTTATTGGTATATATTAATTTCACATCACAACAGGTTTCATTATGATATCTTCATTGTACTTTAATTTTTCTTCTTTTGAGACAGTCTTGCTGTGTTTTTCAAGGCGGTCTCAAACTCCTGGATTCAAGTATCTGTCTGCCTCATTCTCCCAAAGTTTTCTTTAGCTTTCTGTGAAAACTGAGATAATAATACAGACTTCATAGAATTCTGGTCAGAGTTAAATTACTTATGTAGCGTGATTAGCTTATTGGGGAAGAGTTAGTGCTCAATAAATAGAAGTGCTCATTTTGTCAGTTAATGCCCTTTAAGAACATGACCTTCCTTTCTATCTATCTATCTATCTATCTATCTATCTATCTATCTATCATCTATCTATCTTTCAGACAGGGTCTTGCTATGTAGACCAAGCTGATATCACAGAGCTCCATCTGCTTCCATCTGTCTCCTGTCTCCTGAATGCAAGTGCTAGGATTAAAGGCATGCCCCGCCCCCATGTGTGGCCTTTATTTATTTTTAATTTTTGTTTCTTTTGAGACAGGCCTCAAACTCACCATGTAGCTGAGGATGTTCTTGAATTCCTAATCCTGTGTCAGCCTCCCAAGTGTTGGTATTACAGGTGTAAGCCACCATGTCTGGCTTTGCTTTTTAAATTTTTTTAAATTTAATTTTAATTTTTAATATTTCTTTATGTCTGTGAGAGACAGAGAAAGGTAGAGATAGGGAGGGAGGGAGGAGAAAGTTTAAGGCATCCGAGAGAGAGAGAGAGAGAGAGAGAGAGAGAGAGAGAGAGAGAGACCGACCATAGGATGTATGTGGAGATCAAAGTTTCTGGAGTTGGTTCTTGCCTTCAACCTTGTTGAGACAAAGTCTCTCTTTATTTCTGTAGCTCTGTACTTACTTCAGCTGGCCAAGAAGCTTCAGGCAATTCTGCCTCCTATTTCTAGGAGTGCTGGGATTACATATGCAGCACTGCATCTGGCTTTTTATAGTGGCTTCTAGGGACTTGAACTGTTTGGCAGATATGTGCAGCTAGTACTTTTATTCACAAAGCCATCTCCTCTATCCCAATTTTAATTTTGATTTTTAAAAGATTTAAAAAAAAATTTTTTTGAGACAGGGTCCCCCTGTAGCCCCAGCTGGCCTGGAACTCGCTATATAGACCAGGCTGGCTTTGAACTCACAGAGATCCACCTGCCTCTGCCTCCTGAGTGCCGGGATTAAAGGTGTGCACCACCACGCCCGGCTTAAATTATTTATTTATTAATTTTATATGTGTATGAGTGTTTTGTCTCCATTTATGTAAGTGCATCAGGTACACAATGTTCACACAGGCTAGATGAGGGCTGTGGGTCCCCTGGAGTTACAGATGATTTTAACTACAATGTGGGTGCTGGGAACTGAAACTGGGTCCTCTGCAAGAGCAGCTAGTTCTCTTAATCACTGAGCCATACTTCTAGTCCCTAGATTAATTTATTTGTGTGTGTGTGTATGTGTGCGTACATGAGTGCTGGTGCCTGAGGAGACCAGAGGTGTCAGATCCCCCTAGGGCTGGAATTATAGGTAGATGTAAGCCACCAGATGTGGGTGGTGGGAACTGAACTTAAGTCCTCTGGAAGAACAAACCATGCTGGTAACTACTGAATTGTATCTCTAGCCTATTTTTGCTATTTTGAGACATGGTCTTACCACATAACTCTGGCCTGTCTGAAACCCTACCCACTGAAAATATTCCTTTGTTTTTTAATGGTCTTTTTGAGTCTCCCTGGAATTCACTATGTAGAGCCAGGCTGGCCTTGAACTCACAGAGATCCTCCTGCCTCTGCCTCCAGAGGATTAAAGGTGAGTGCCACCATGCCTGACAGAAAATATCCTAAGAGTTTCCAAGGCCAGTGAAATAGCTTAGTGGGTGAAGTCAGTTGTCAACAAGCCTGACAACCTGAGTTCCATCCCTGGAACCTGGAACCACAGGGTGAAGAAAAGGAAAGAACTGACCCCAAAAAGTTGCCCTTTGACCTACCTCTGTATGTGCACTGTGGCAATACACACATGTGCCTTCCCCACCTCCAGTTAAATAAATATTTTTTAAAATTTTAGTAAGAAAAAGTGTTTAATAAGCCTACTTTGGCAGTGGCTCTGGCATTAGGAGGTAGAGGTAAGAGGGTCAGGAGTTTGAGGCCAGTCTGGGCTACATAAGAACTTGTCTCAAAAGAAACAAACAAAATCAAAAAAGGGCCTATGACCATGGTGATGCACGCCTTTAATTCCAGCACTCAAGTGGCTGAGTCAGATCCCTGTGAGTTAGAGGCCAGCCTGGTCTACACAACAAGCTCCAGGTCAGCCAAAGTTACATGGTCAGATCCTGTTGTAAAAAACAAAATAAGGGTCATGGCCAAGAATATTGAGGCAAGATTCAACTTAGAGGGCAGCCTGGGTTAATCTCTCAGCAGGGAGGTAAAGAGGGAAGAGGGGAAGGAGGGTTTCACAAAATATCCAAGGTGAAGCATCCAGTGGGCCCATGGTTTCTTGGGGGATCAGACTGAGCCTGCACAAAAGGATAGGCAGACCTAGATGTAGGGATCTGCCACCACCCTGTCCACCCTTCCCATCCTCGTTGGGCACCTGCACAGAGGGTCCGCGAGGCAGCCAGTCCGCAGATCCAGGCAGTTGGGGGCCACAGAAGGCAGCGCGCAGCTGGGGGCAATGGTGTTGCGCCGGCGCTCCCCGCAGCCCACGTCGTAGGGTGCACAGGGGCACAGCAGCAATCCCTGAGCATAGGACTCTGCTGCCTTCTCAAAGAAGGAGCGCAGCTGTGCTAGGCAGACCTGGCGCTGGCAGTGGATGCTAGAGCATGCCTCCCCATAGGCCTTGCGCAGCCGATAACACTTGTTGTTAAGAGTACATAGCGTAGCAAACTTGAGGCAAAGGTCCGAGTCTGTAGGGAGAATGGCACCAAGTCACCAAGCTGAGTCTCTCCAGGAACCCCAGCAAACCCTTGATTTGACAAGAAAGTAGTTGAGGTAGCAGAAAGACAGGATTGTCATGAACTAAGCCCTAATCCAGGGCTTTCTACCCACAAACTCTGGCTTCCTGAAGCCTCCCCTATCTTCATCTTGACAGGTAAAAATCATCACCACCTAGATACATCGAGCACCCATTTATCTAGAATCCAAGCAGCAGAAAGCACAAATACACAGAACGTTTTCCTCAGTCCTGTGCAGTGAGAGCTGATGGTGGAAATCACAACTCAGAGGCTCTACAACACTGCAGAGAACTTCCCAACTGTTTAAAACAGATGCAACCAAATTCTACTTAGGTTTTGTTTGTGGCTTTCTATTCCATCCAGATTTCTTTGGTTTGGGAGGCTTTAGGGTAGTGGATTGGAGGGTTGCTTCTGTTTTAAATTTTTTTTTTTTTACATTTATTTAATGGGGGGATGTACACAGATGTCATGATACTACATGTGTGGAAGTCACAGGACAACTTGAGGGAGTGGTTCTCTCTTCTATCATGTAGGTAGGTCCCAGAGGTGAAACTCAGGTAGTTAGACTTGGCAACAAGTGCCCTTACCCATATTCACCATGTTTTTATTTTTGAGATAAGGCTGCCGAGACTAACTTGAGCTCACCATACAGCAAGAATGATCTTGAACTTCGGATCCTTCTGCTTCTAGTGCTGGGACTGCAGGGCCAAGCCACATGCCCAGTTATTTTGTTGTTGTAATGACACTTGCCCATCTTTCTGATTACTGATTAGCAGGTGAAAATCCCGCCATACTCTGAAACTTCAAAAATTAGGATGATATTTCTTTTCTTTGGAGGGGTGAAGCATGATGTTTACACACCACTGAACTACACCCCATATCCTTGGTGATGCTTTTATTAAGAGACTATTCCCAAAAACAAACAAAGAAACAGAATATTCTACTAGCCTGCGACTTTAAAAAGTTATTTACTGAATCCTTATCAATAGGTTTATCATGTATAAATCACTGGGGTTTTTCCCCCTCGAAGTTCTAATTCTAATACATAGACTTGACTATGCAATGAAACTCAATAAAAATTCTAATTCTGAAGCTGGGGTATCGGTAGTAATAACACACCTGTAATCCCAGCACTCAGGAGGCAAAGGCAGGCAGATCTCTGTAAGCTTAGACCAACCTAGTCTACATAGTGAATTCCAGGCCAACCAGAGCTACATAGTGAGAGCTTGCCTCAAAGGAAAAAAAAAAAAAAAAAGAAGCTGGGCATGGTGGCAGGTGGCACATGTCTTTAATTCCAGCACTTGGGAGGCAGAGGCAGGCAGATCTCTGTGAGACAGAGGCCAGCCTGGTCTACACAGTGAGTTCCAGGCCAGCTAGAGCTACAGGGAAACCATGTCTCAAAAAGACAAAAAACAAACAAGCATAGTGGTGCACACGTATTATCCTAGTACTTGGAGGTAGAAAAATAAAGACAAGAAGAGTTCAAGGCTAAATAGCAAGATCCTGTCTCAAGACAACACAAAATCCTAATTCTAAAAATAAAAAAATGACTATTCAACAAAGTTTATTTATTTCTTTTTAAATTTTTATTTATTATTTTTATTTTATGTGTATTCGTGTATTGCCTGCAGAGGTCGGAAGAGACTGTCGGATCCCCTGGGACTGGAGTTATGGACAGTTGTTAGCTGCCATGTGGATGCTGGGATTCAAACCTGGGTCTTCTGCAAGAACAACCAGTGTTCTTAACCACTGAGTCATCTCTCCAGCCCCTAGCTTATTTATTTCTTAAAAATAGAGCATGTGGGTATTCTTTATTTGTTTTTGAGATAAGGTCTTCCAGGCTGGCCAAGAACTCACTATGTAGCTGAGAATGACCTTGAATTCCTGATCCTCCTGCCTCTATCTCTCAAGGGCTTGGATTAAGGCATGAACCACCACACCCAGCAGTGCATTTGTATATTCTTTCTCAATTAGTTCACAGTCTCACTTTCCTGAAAAAAAAAAAAAAAAAAAAAAAAAAAAAAACAAGCACACCACAGTCCTTGTTGGATTGATGGTTCCCACCCTGAGTCACCCCTATGGGAAATCACATTCTCACTACTTTTTCCTGCCCAATACCTCATCCACCCCATTTAGAATGGTTGAAAACAAGCAATTTCCTAGTCCTTGGAGACTTTTGAAAAAGCTACTTTCTTGGCTGCCTTAAATGTGGGTAAATACTCCATTTCAGTACATTTTTTTCTGGAACTGCTGCCACTCCCTCTATAGCCCTCCTAAGGACCAGAGATCCTAATGGGCTCTGTCTAGATGGTTCCCTGATAACTGCTGCTTTAAATGACCCCTGTGAGAGCAGACCATGCTTCCCAGTTCACACTTCCATCCTGACAGAATAGCAGACTAGAAATTCTTCCTCTAAAAGTCCTCAGTTTGTGCTCCTCTCAGTCACCCTTCCCTCAGAGCCCAGGCCCAGCCTGCCTTTCCCCAATCTAGGCTTGCCCTCCATACCTGGCTTGAGCATGCTCAACTTGCTGAGATTCATCTTCCATGGTTTGCTGGTCACTGTGTCTTCATAGGGGGAAACATCCAACTCATAGTCACCTAGAGACAAGGTTAGAAGCATGTGAATGCCAGGCACAAGGACATGTGGAGAGGAACAGGAAGGGCTGAGCTGCTGCTGCCTTGTTGAGCAAAGGAAAAGGCAGAGTCTCTCAGCTAGCTGCAAGATGTGCAGAGATGAGAATAATTAAGAGCCATGAAGATACAGGTTGGGTCCAATGAATAAATGGATGAGAATAATAGAGCTGTCTTATTATTATATTAATTTGTTAAATGTATTGTATTCTGGGTACTATGGTATAAGGTTACATACACATACAGATAGAAAGGGAGGGAGGGGAGGGGAGGGGAGGGGAGAGGAGAGGAGAGGAAGACACAGACACTCATTCCATTGTCCTAGAAGCCTTTGGGCAGGTAAGAAGAAACTGAGGAGGAGAGGTTAGTGACCTCTCAGTTTCACATAAGCTAATAAGGAGAGCTGGGACTTGAATTCTACACTACTCATAAGTATAGACATCATCTGTGGGTACACAATCAAGCAAAGACACTCTTGTTTTCTCTTGTAATTCGTGAAGGGACAGGAACGGATTATGTTCTAGGCTTGACCACTACGGAGACACATAGTATACTAGAGAAATGGAAGTGAGGTAAGGTACTGAGTTGAACCTAAACAAGAATAGCAGAGGAGGAAAAGATGCAGTGATTCCACAGCAAATGCATCTCTCAGTCCCCTCATGAGGTGATGGGCTCCTGAAGGAGCCTTCCTAAGTATTAGCAAATCACTGCATCATTGCTCAGATGCATGGTAGATGCTTAATAAGTGCTGGCTTTCTGGATATCGTACAATAAGCCTTTGTAAATGCATTTTGAAGACTGCAGGAATATGGATGTCAGACAAACAGAAGGGGATAGGCTAGATAAGGCAGGAAGTCCTGGGAGCTCCTAAGGGGAAAACGGAAAGTGACAGGATCCCAAAACTCTCAAGGGGGAGTTCAAAAAGAGAACCATTAGGATGAATAGAAAACAGGGAACAAAAAGTGTAGTAAATGGTTCCAATTACTGGCCCCTCCATCCTGTGGGAGGATTACACCTCCCACCAGTTGCTCTGGGACCTTCAGGTCTCCTGTGAGAGGAGTACACAATCCCAACCCACTGATGTCAGGTTTGGCCACATGACTTGCTCTGGCTTATGGAGTGCAAGCTGAAATGATGTCAATCACATTTAGGCAGAAGTTTTAAGAACCATCACATGGTTCTGTGTTACTCGTTCCCTCTTCCAGCTCAGATCCTTCAAGCTAGAACAGAGACAAAGTCAACTCTTGGAACCCTGCAGCAGATGTGTAACATTAGCAAGAAATTTTTTCTTGTTAAAAGCCCGTGATCTGGGGGTGGGTTTGTTGTAATTGTGGCTTAACCTAGCAATTCTTATTTAAAATGCAAATTGGGAAGGCTTGGGTGTAGCTCAGTGATGGAGTGCTTGTATAACATGGGCAAGGCCCTGGGTTAGATCTCTAGTACCAGAAGAAGAAAAAAAAATGCACTTGGTATCTAGAAATAGATTGCTATAGTAACAACAACAACAAATTCCAAAATGTATGGCATTGCTTTGTAACTGGGCAGTGGGTGGTTAAAAAAAAAAAAGTTGTTATTGGGGGCTGGAAAAATGGCAGCTTTCTTTATGCAGTGGCAAAGCATTTGGCAAAATTGTTGCCTGTAATAAACAGGAGGATGATTTATGAGGAAGGTGATATATGCTAATGAGCTTGTACTTAAAGGGGAAGCACCCAAGTCATGCAATGCCCCTAGAGGTCAGAAGAGGGCATCAGATGCCCTGGAAATGAAGTTATCAACAGTTGTTAGCTGCCATGTGGGTGCTGGGAATTGAACCCAGGTCCTCTGCAAGAGCAGCTAGTGTTCTTATCCACTGATCCATCTCTCCAACCCCCATCATTTTTTATTTGTTTATTATTTTATGTGATGAGTGCACTGCCCGCATGTATGTAAGTGCACCCGTGTCATGCAATGCCTGTGGAGGTCAGAAGAAGGCATTGGATTCCCAGGAACTGGAGTTACAGACAATTGTTAGTCACCATGTGAATGCTGGGAATCAAACCCAAGTCTTCTGCAAAACTAGCCAGTTCTCTAAACCACTGAACCATCTCTCCAGCCCAGTATTTCTTATATTCTAATATAAATGATAAAGCTGAAAAGTGCTTTGAGTTATAAGTTTGATTATAATAGCCTTGGGGAAAAGAACAAGTCAAATATGTGGCTATCATGCTGTTCATTGAGATCTCTCAATTGATTAAGACTGTATGTAGTAAATCCTGCCAGTTAGACAAATGTACTCAGGGAAAAAAAGACTAAAGCAGTGACTATCCTACAGAGGCCTGACAAGGGCAAGGACCTTCTAATTAGGTCTAGAAAGAGATGCATGTCTGAAATTGTGGGGAAGGCTACTGGGCACACAAGATAACAGAAATCAAAGATAGAAAAAGCAACTAAACTAAGAGCTACCAACCTGGATTAATAGACTATGAGTATTTGAGACTTCAAATGCCCTACCACCTTTCAGGCAAGAAGGAGGCTGAGAATGTGGCTCAGTCCCCAAGGAGGTTGTAATCTCCAATGCCCTTTTTAACTGTGGCCAAAGAGAATAATGGAAAAGCAAGGACTTGGTGGACTGGGCCAAGAGCCCTAGAAAACAATGGATATGGCAGCTCATCCCCCAGAGCAACATCTGCTCTGCTTAGCTGCTTAGCTGGGTTTCAGAGCTGTTGTAAATCAGTGAGCACTGAGTGTCTCCTGTCCCCCTTTCTGGGAGTGTTTGTTGTGGCTGTATTGGTTCTATTTCATTACTGTGCATTGAGTATGTATGGAAAGTAGATGACTTTTTAGTTTGTTTTTTTTTAAGTGTGTGTGTATGTGTGTGTGTGTTCATGTGTGTATACATGAGTACTGGTACCCATTGAGAGGCCAGAGGTGTTGGATCCCTGGAGCTAGAATTACAGGTGGTTGTGAGCTACTTGACATGGTACTAGGAAAAGAACTTGGGTTTTCCCCACCGAGTCATCTCCAGCCCTGACTTGTCTTTTTAATTTACAGATTTCTCGATCAAGAGCAGTCACATTCACATACTCAGTACAGAAAGTATCATGAGCCTCAGAATTTAGAGGCTGAGGATTGCAAGTCTCTGGCCAATCTGAGCTACAGAGTAAGATCCTGTCTCAAAAACAAAATCAAGAGCTGGGCGTGGTGGCACATGCCTTAAATCCCAGCACTCGGGTGGCAGAGGCAGGTGGAGCTCAGTGAGATTGAGGCCAGCCTGGTCTACATAGTAAGTTCCAGGACAGCTGGAGCTACAGGGAGACCCTGTCTCAAAAAGACCAAAAAAAAAAATTAGTTTTGCCATGTGAGTTTTGTTTGTTTTGAGATAGTGTCTCATTATGTATTACAACTTTCCTTGAATTCAGGGACTAACCTTTCAATGCTGATATTACAGTTATGTATCACCATACCTGGCACCATGTGATACTTTAGAATTTTTATTTATTTATTTATTTTTATTTTATATTTATGAGTGTCTTGCCTGCATGCAAGTACACTTATGCATGCAATGCCTGTGGCAGTCAGAAGAGGGCATTGGATCCTCTGGACCTGGAATTATATAGATGGTTGTTAGCTGCCATGTGGGTACTGGTAACTGAACCCAGGTCCTTTGCAAGAGCAGCTAGTGTTCTTAACTGCTGAGCCATCTCTCCAGCCCCAACCATGTGATTTTTGATGTCTCCCTGTGAGAAGAATACACTTACTTCTTCAATGATGTCAGGCTTAGTCATGTGATTTGCTCTGTCTACAGAATATGAGAAATAATGTATGGAACATCACAGCTCAGGTGTTTGAAAACATGTCACAAGTCTGTCAGTGCTCATTTCATTCTTCCAGAAGGGAACATCCCAGACAGAGACTTCACCTTTAGCCTAAATCCCAGAATGAAGATGCAACATGAAACACAGAATGTGACCGTGAACTAAACTTTGTCAAGTCTTTCTTTTGGGTCTGAGTGAGTGTATATGTATGTTTGTGTATGTGTGGGTGTACATGCATGCATGTGTATGTAAAGGCCAGGTCAACCTCAGACCGACCTTCTCTCTCTCTCTCTCTCTCTCTCTCTCTCTCTTTCTTTCTTCACAATATCTCACTGGCCTTCAACTGACCAAGCAGGCTCAACTGTCTGGCCAGAGAGCCCAAGGGATCTGCCTGTTTGCTTTTTCAGTGCTGGGATTACAAATGCCACATGGAAAGCTGAACATAATACACATGCCTTTAGTCCAGCACTCGTGAAGCAGAGGCAGGCAGATCTCTGTGAGTTTGAGGCCAGTCTGGCCTACATAGTGAGTTCCAGGCTAGTTGGGGCTACAGGGACACCCTGTCTCAAAAAGGAAAAAAAAATGGCACTTGGTTATTTGTTTTGTTTTGTTCATCTTTTTAAGTGCTGGAATTAAAGGCATGCACCACCACACCCTAGCTGTTTTGTTTTGTTTTAATGTGGGTTCTGGGGATCAACCTTAGGTCTTCCTGCTTGTAAGGCAGGCAGTTTATAGACTGGGTTACCTCCCTATTCTTTTGTTTGTTTTTGTTTTTGTTTTTGTTTTGTGAGATAGGGTATATCACTCTGTAGCCCCAGATGGCCTGGAACTCACTATATAGACCAGGCTGACTTTTATCTGAGATTTGCCTGCCTCTGCCTCCAGCATGCTGGGATTACAGGTATGTGCCACCTTGCCTGGCTCCCGATCCCTTTTTTTGTCTTTTTGAGACAGTGTCTCCCTGTAGCCCCAGCTGTCCTGGAACTTGCTATGTAGACCTGGCTGGCCTCAAACTCACAAAGATCTGCCTGCCTCTGCCTCCCAAGTGCTGGGATTAAAGGCGTGCGCCACCACACCCAGCTCCCTATCCCTTTTTTACTGTATAACCTAGGATATCCTTGAATTTGTGGGGATTTACCTGCCTCAGCCTCTCAAGTGCTAGGATTATGAGGGTGTGCCATCATGCTTGGCTATGGAGGTCTTTTTTGTTACCACAGCATAGTCCACTGAAAGCTGACTAGTAGAGTGATGGGCCTGTGGAAAGTGACAGAGATGAATCTTGTTTGGCTCTCTCTGTACCTTTTCTCTTGCTATCTCCTGTGTAGTTCCCATGATGTCCTTTCTGTTACAGATTGGCATGACATGCTACTTCCTACTGTCTCTGAATTTATGGATTACATGGTATTTTGAGTTTGTTTATAATAGGACCCCTTTTTTCATTTTCTCTCTGTACCCTTCTGTTTCAGGAACACCTCAGGCTGGAAATCTCTCTGGTTCAAATCTTTGTGAAAGGGAAGCCATAGGCTAGAAAAGTGGAAGTAAGGGTACCAAGATGGTTCAGCAACTAAAGGTGTTTGCCATCAAGCCTGAAGTCCTGAGTTTGATTCACATGGTGGAATGAGAGAACCAACTCCCAAAAATTGTCCTCTGATCTCCACAGGTGGGCCATGGCCGCACATGCACACACTCACACGCATATATACTCACACAAATAAATAAATGTAATAAACTGACAAAATTTTTAAAAAGAAAACTGGAAATAGGGAGAGAAGAGGCCAACGTTTCAAAGATCACAAAAGATACTGCCAAATTTTCCCTCCTTTTCTTACTGATAACAAATGCAGCACTTCATTGATCCCCACCAGAAATGACTATACGGCCCATTTCCTACAGGATTGAGAAACAACCCCAAAACAACCTTCCCAACTTAGTCCACTCTAGGACAGGGACCTCACCAAGGCGGTGGGCAGAGTGAACAGTCCAATAGATGCTCAGGCAGGTAGCTTGGTTCCTCATGCGCCAGTGGCACGTACAGCCTATCAGAGAGCTGTTTCTGATTTGTTGTTCTGCCTCGAGGCAGTCTGCAGACAGGGAAGACTCCTCTAATGGCCGTGGGGTGATTAGACTGGAGGTGCAGGAACCCAAGTGGTGGTAAGCAGCCTTGCAAGTGGGGTCAGTTTGGCATTTCTTCCTGGCCTGGATACAGCTATTCACAAACCTGCTATCTGTGGGAGAGGAGTTTCCTGTGAAGAGAGAAATCAGGTAAGACCCACACAAGGTCAAATTAGCTGTCTGGAGTACCAAGTCATGAAGTAGTGTAGTAAAGATTCCTAATGAAACCATGAGAAAATCTTAGGATACCACAAAAGTCCTTTAGGAATAAATATGGAGAGAACTGGACAGTCTGCAGTTGTCACAATATGCACAGAGCAGACCAGGCTAAAGAAGAGGTCAGAAGAGGGAGTCAAATCTCCTGGAACTGGAGTTGCAGATGGTTGTTAGCCATCATGTGCGTGGTGGGAATTGAACCTGGGTTCTCTGCAAGAACAGCTAGTGCTCTTAATCACTGAGCTCTCTCTCCAGTCCAGAATTTACTTCTTTTTTTTTGGGGGGGGGTCTTTTTGACACAGGGTCTCCTGTAGCCCCAGCTGTCCTGGAACTCACTATATAGACCAAGCTGGCCTTGAATTCATGGAGATCCACGTGCCTCTGCCTCCCAAGTACTGGGATTAATCGCATGCACCACCATACCCGGCAGAACTTACTGAGTGCTGGTCTCCCTGTAGCCCTAGCTGGCCTGGAACTCACAATGTAGACCAGGCTGACCTTGAACTCACAGAGCTCTTGAACCCTCAGAGATCTGCCTGCCTCTACCTCCTGAGTGCTGGGACTACAGGCGTGTGCCACCACGCCTGGCTTTGAACTTACTTTCTTAAAGTGTACAATTAAGTAGCATTCAGATCATTCACAAAATTGTATGACAATCACATCTAATTCCAATATAACTGAATCAACCCAAAATAAAATCCATCTCATTAGACAACTTCTTATTCTCCCAGCTTCTGGTAACCACTTACCTGCTTTCTGTCTCTGTGGATTTACCTAGTCCAGATATTTCATATAAATGGCATCACACAATTCCACTTGCTCTTTTGTATCTGGCTGCTCTCACCCACCATACTGTTTCTGAGATTCATCCATTCTGTAATTTCTGTCAGTGCTTCATTCATACTATTTCACTGCCACATTTTGCTTATCCATTCATTAGCTGATGTGAATGTGACTTGTTTACATCTTTGTTTATTGTGACTAATATTTTTGTGAACATACATGGACATGTTTGGACACATATTTGGGGAATATATGTATGAGTAGAATTGCTGCATCATATGTTTAACTTTTTAAAATATTTATTTTTATTTTTTTTTAATATTTTATTTTTATTTTATGAGTATGCATGTATTACCTGCATGTAGGTATGTGCACCTGTGTTGTGCAATACCCAAGGAGGTCAGAAGAGACTGTTGGATCCCCAGGACTGGAGTTACAGACAGTTGTTAGCTGCCATGTGAGTACTGAAATTCGAACCCAGGCCTTCTGCAAGAACAGTGTTCTTAACTGCTGAGCCATCTCTCCAGCCCCATTATTTTTTTAATATTTTATTTATTATTTTTATTTTATGTGTATGAGTGTATTGTCTGCATGTAGGTAAGTGCACCCATATCAGCAGCGGTCAGAAGAGGGCATCAGATTCCCTGGAATCGCAGTTATGGATGGTTGTTAGCTGCCAGTAGGTGCTGGGAACTGAACTCAGGTTCTCTGTAAGAACAGCCAGTGCTCTTAACTGTTGAGCCATCTCTCTACCCTGTTTAACTTTTTAAAATATTTATTTACTTATTTAATGTGTGTGTGGGCATGACTTTTATGAAATGAACAGGATCTGGACTAATGATTTTTAATTACCTTGGCAAACTCAATGAACCTTGTGCCTTGTGATGGGGCGTCCTGGGAACCTCAATTTGGCACTTCACCCAAAAAGATAATGAATGAATGTGGGTATTCTTTGGGTGTTCTTGAGAATTAACATGGCAAAGCACTTAAAGATAGTGCACCCATCTTCACTGAACACAGTGATGATTGGGAAGGACACTTGAGATTGTATGAATGAGATATTCTAGAGCTAGGGATAAAAAGGCAAGATAGTCTGTTAAGGTAAGGGTGGAACCAAACTTATATTTCAGCCCCAATGAAACTAGAGAAACAAACTTGCAAAAAAATATGAATAAGGCCTGGTTCAGAAGCACAGTTCCAGGAGACAGATGGTTCCAAGAGATATCTGGGAGAACAAGTGTCCTCTGAGTTTAGGCCCACTCTTAAAAGCTAAATTTAAGAGTCAGGCTTTTTTATTCAGATAATTGTAATGTTGGCATAATACAGCCACATGTGTGTATGCACACATGTACACATGTCACAGCATGAGTTTGGAAATCAGAGGACAAGAGTCAGTCCTTTCTTACCATGTGGGTCCCAGGATTGATCTCAAGTTTACAGGCTTGAAGGCAAGTGCCTTTACCCACCTAGTTCACAGGATAAAATCCCCTCAGCAGACTCGGAGTCAGCAATAGCTAAGCCCCAAGTGGTGGTGGCTCTTGTGTTAATGTCCACTGTGTCTGCGACGCCCCCGAATTTTACCTATCAGGTTATTCTAATTATACAGAATCCTATGAGGATGGTTGTGAGGATTACCCCACTCTATCAGAATATGTCCAGGATTATTTTGAATCATCTTACAGCCTTGTGGGAAGTGGGAGCGGTCGAGCCGGCCAAGATGGCACCCTGGCTGGCTGCCAAGCCTCGTGACCCTCACTTGTTTGCTCCAACTGTTAGCCCCGTGCTCATGTCCTGATTGGCTCCGTGTGACTGTCTGATTGTGGGATGGGCCTGATGAGGGTATATATTGTGGGATGATGAAGAATAAAAGAGAGAGTGAGAGAATTGCTTGAACCTCACCTTGGCGATCGTGTTGTCCTTTCCTCGGCTCTGCTGGTCGGAGTCTTGGTTCGCGGCAAATGGTGGCCCGTACGGGGAATTTCTTTCCGACAGAAAAAATAGAGGGTAAGGTCCGCAGGTAAGCGGCAAAGGGATAGCGCTATTAAGGCTCCCGGATTTAGGGGACGAAGTTAGGACCACAGGCAGTGGCGAAGGGAAAGTTACAACAACATAGGATCGGCGGGATCAAAAGTGAAAGTAAAAGCCATGCTAGTGCAGCTTTTACGAAAGGGAGGAATTAAACTAAAAGCTGAGATCGTAGAAAAATTTCTAGCTACTGTTTCAAGAGAAGCACCTTGGCTTTTGGAAGAAGGATACATTAATGTTCCTCAGTGGGAGTGAACAAGGAACAGCTGTTAAAAGCAAAACTATTGAACAGTAACATGATTGCAAGAATCTTAGGATAAATGTTGCTTTGTTTTTCCCTGATTTCCCTGTTATCCCATACCTTAGGTAAAGCAAGGTCAAATTTGAATTGGTTTTCTATGGACTTCTGTTCCTACAATACTTGAAAATCTTTAAGAAAAAGGTGAAAATTCTAGTATTATTTTTCCTGTGAGGTGGTTACTTTTTCTAGGACTAATTTTGAAGCAGTTCAGTAGATAAAGAAGGATGCATACACTGACTAGAAAATTATGTTTTGCAGTTAATTTAATTTCAAAAGATTACTTCAGTACACATCGAAGTTTTGGCAGGAAGATTTCTTGGTCCTCTGCCTCCTGAAGGAAAGAGCGTGGCAGATGTTTGTGTAAATATTGTAGTGTTTGCATGATGTATACTATGATTTCTGAAAACCTAGGCTGCTTAAATATGCTAACAGCTAACTCTGGAGGGAAATTGTGCCCCTTTCACTTCAGACTTAATCCTGTTCTTTAGATCTAAAGATGTTTTCTGCCTAATGTCTCTTACTTGCTGTTTCAAACTAATGTAGTATAGGCTAAAAATGTGAGAAGCTGACTCAGGGCAGAAACTGGTCCTTTCTGTTCAGACTCATGCTAGTTCTCACAAACTTCTGTTCTCAAGAATTCTCCAGGTTCAGACTGACCCC